CTAACCGTGAGTGTTCATTGTTACGAAGATTTTGATGTCATCAAAACCTATTAATTTTCAATTATACGGAAGTGTCCTCTTTATCTTAAAAATAAAATAATTTGTCATTGACCACAATAAAATTGATGTAATAACATGCACAATAAAAGATGATGTAATAACATGCACAATAAAAGATGATGTAATAACGTGTACAATAAAATTGATGTAATAACATGCACAATAAAAGATGATGTAATAACATGCACAATAAAAGATGATGTAATAACGTGTACAATAAAACATGATGCAATAACGTGCACAATAAAACATGATGTAATAATGTGCACAATAAAACATGATGTAATAACATGCACAATAAAACATGATGTAATAATGTGCACAATAAAACATGATGTAATAACATGCACAATAAAACATGATGTAATAACATGCACAATAAAACATGATGTAATAATGTGCACAATAAAACATGATGTAATAATGTGCACAATAAAACATGATGTAATAATGTGCACAATAAAACTCGATGTAATAATGTACACAATAAAACATGATGTAATAATGTGCACAATAAAACATGATGTGATAACATGCACAATAAAACATGATGTAATAATGTGCACAATAAAACATGATGTAATAACATGCTCAATAAAACATGATGTAATCATGTGTACAATAAAACACGATGTAATAATGTGCACAATAAAACTCGATGTAATAATGTACACAATAAAACATGATGTAATAATGTGCACAATAAAACATGATGTGATAACATGCACAATAAAACATGATGTAATAATGTGCACAATAAAACATGATGTAATAACATGCACAATAAAACATGATGTAATCATGTGTACAATAAAACACGATGTAATAATGTGCACAATAAAACACGATGTAGTAATGTGCACAATAAAACACGATGCAATAGTGTGCACAATAAAACTCGATGTAATAATGTGCACAATAACACACGATGTAATAATGTGCACAATAAAACACGATGTAATAATGTGCTCAATAAAACATTATATGAAAATGTACACAATAAAACATGATGTAATAATGTGCACAATAATACATGATGTGATAATGTTCATAATAAAACACGATGTAATAATGTGCACAATAAAACATGATGTAATAACATGCACAATAAAACATGATGTAATAATATGCACAATAAAACTCGATGTAATAATGTACACAATAAAACATGATGTAATAATGTGTACAATAAAACACGATGTAATAATGTGCACAATAAAACACGATGTAGTAATGTGCACAATAAAACACGATGCAATAATGTGCTCAATAAAACATTATATGAAAATGTACACAATAAAACATGATGTAATAATGTGCACAATAATACATGATGTGATAATGTTCATAATAAAACATGATGTTATAATGTGCACAATAATACATGATGTGATAATGTTCATAATAAAACATGATGTTATAATGTGCACAATAAAACACGATGCAATAGTGTGCACAATAAAACTCGATGTAATAATGTGCACAATAACACACGATGTAATAATGTGCACAATAAAACACGATGTAATAATGTGCTCAATAAAACATTATATGAAAATGTACACAATAAAACATGATGTAATAATGTGCACAATAATACATGATGTGATAATGTTCATAATAAAACACGATGTAATAATGTGCACAATAAAACATGATGTAATAACATGCACAATAAAACATGATGTAATCATGTGTACAATAAAACACGATGTAATAATGTACACAATAAAACATGATGTAATAATGTGTACAATAAAACACGATGTAATAATGTGCACAATAAAACACGATGTAGTAATGTGCACAATAAAACACGATGCAATAATGTGCTCAATAAAACATTATATGAAAATGTACACAATAAAACATGATGTAATAATGTGCACAATAATACATGATGTGATAATGTTCATAATAAAACATGATGTAATAATGTGCACAATAATACATGATGTGATAATGTTCATAATAAAACATGATGTTATAATGTGCACAATAATACATGATGTAATAACATACACAATGCAATGATATAAAATCAGAACAAATACGTACTTGCTTTGTTTGATCGCCCATACTGAAAGGTTTCACAACTGATTATTTGGTATACCTACTATTAAGGTACATTATAGGTGTACACATCACTTCTCGGTTTGGCATGATTTATTTTATTTATTTCGTCATGCTTAAATACAATGAAAATAAACTTTAGATAACTTCAATTATAAAAGGGAAAATTTATTTTAAATAGTATATTAAATGCTGGGAACAAAGAGCGTCATATTAAATGCGGTGCGCACTACCTTTGAATTTGTTAGTAGTATGTGACAAGAGAACAAATTAAAAAGACTGTCATGTGGTGTTTTATCAACATATTATCTGTTATTAGGGAGTTTAAGCTTGCACTGTTTTTCACAACCTAAACGTGAACGAAAAATATTTAAGCGATGCATTTGTCTGGACGATTGATCATACGTATAGGTTGGCGTTTCGATTTCATATGCAAACTTACACTCCCTATTATTGGGGATGCATGTTGTTTTGTATGAAAACCTCCAAAATTGTATCATAAATTTATATCATAATATCGTCCTTTACATACTGATGTGACGTTTCATCCTCATCTCTTCGTCGAATATGAAATACTTCAACCTTAGGTGAATAACACAGGATCTGAAATAAGGTGAATAACACAGGATCTAAAATAGGGTGAATAACACAGGATCTAAAATAGGGTGAATAACACAGGATCTGGAATAAGGTGAATAACACAGGATCTGAAATAAGGTGAATAACACAGGATCTGAAATAAGGTGAATAACACAGGATCTGAAATAAGGTGAATAACACAGGATCTAAAATAAGGTGAATAACACAGGATCTGAAATAATATGAATAACACAGGATCTGAAATAAGGCGAGGCAAAAATTCCTAGACGAGGCAAATTTTGACCTGAAGAGGTATATATTACATTGGAATAAAAGGAGGATGGTGAAATCTGGTTTGCCAAATGCTTCTTTATTATCGAATATAATTTACTCTGATAAGCTAAGCACTCACTGGCCTAAAGAGGGCGCGCTATCATAGAAATGCACTGCACGAAACATTTCCAAGTATTGTTGTGCCCTTGGTGAAATCTGGCTGGCCAGATGCTTGCTTCTTTGTTATTGAATAGAACTTTATTGATTATAAATTTGTTATTGAAATCATTATTTCAGATAATTTGATAATGTTTTGTATTACTGTTTATATCTCAACTGTTTATATCTCAACTGTTTTACCTACATGGAAGTGTTCCTTACACAGAAGTGTTCCTTGGACAGAAGTGTTCCTTGGACAGAAGTTTTCCTTACGCAGAAGTGGTCCTTACGCAGAAGTGCTCCTGACGCCGAAGGGTTCCTTATACGGAACTGTACATCACACACAGAAGTGTTCCCTACGCAGAAGTGTTCCCTACGCAGAAGAAGTGTTCCCTACGCAGAAGAAGTGTTCCCTACGCAGAAGAAGTGTTCCCTACGCAGAAGAAGTGTTCCCTACGCAGAAGAAGTGTTCCCTACGCAGAAGAAGTGTTCCCTACGCAGAAGAAGTGTTCCCTACGCAGAAGTGTTCCATACGCAAAAGTGTTCCCTACGCAAAAGTGTTCCCTACGCAAAGGTGTTTCCTACGCAGAAGTGTTCCTTACGCAAAAGTGTTCCATACACAGAAGTGCTTCTTACGCAGAAGTGGTCCTTACGCAGAAGTGGACCTTACGCAAACGTTTTACCTACATAGAAGACGTTTTACCTACATAGAAGTGTTCCTTACACAGAAGTGTTTATTACAGAAGTGTTCCTTACACAGAAGTGTTTATTACAGAAGTGTTCCTTACACAGAAGTGTTCCTTACACAGAAGTGTTCCTTACACAGAAGTGTTCCTTACACAGAAGTGTTTATTACAGAAGTGTTCCTTACACAGAAGTGTTCCTTACACAGAAGTGTTTATTACAGTAGTGTTCCTTACACAGAAGTGTTTCTTTCAAACAGGTGTTACTGTTCATGACTCCAATCAGCTTTAATTATTTTATTGGATTTCTGGGTTTAATTATTCATGTTTGATGTGTTGTTATAAGATGAATATTTAATAGTTGGAAACTCCCTTAGGTATAACATATTACTTAGTTCATCTCTGGAATGTTGCTACATGTACATGTTGAATAAAACACAGCTTTTTATGTAACCACCAAGACTGGTGGCATATCATTATGATAACCATCAAGAGTTGTGACATATTGTTATATTTATGGTCTCCAACTTTTGTGGATGATGGTTGGTGTTCGGCGTCCGTGACAAATGGCAGGTGCTGATATTTTTCATGGCTTGTTTTTCAGTGATTTTCAAAAATTGTTTATGACGGTAAACCTTAAACTTTGAACACACACTCATAGATACATCTATTAAAGTACATATTTTTATTACACATACATAATTTTACCTTTATTAAAAATTGCTACACCTAATGACAGACATTTTTTGTTTAGCATCCATATCTTTCGAAAAGTATCATAATTATATTTCTTTTCATTATTATAAACCATGGTAAGATGTAAAACATGACGAATTAATCATAACAAATCACAAAAAGCAATATGTTATTCTGATGTTCAAGAAACGATCAATAACCGACAATTAATTGAATAAGATTCCGATTACAAATTCCATTCCATGTAATTTACCATTTAAGATTTAAGCAATAATCACAATAGAAAACAGCTGCTTCGAGTGTTTTTGTAATCACCATAGAAAACCAATAGTCTATTTCACACACATATGCTGAAGCGCTTCGATCTGATCCATATATTCAATCCACTCTACAGCTTCGGCTTTGAATCAATATTCCAAGCAATATTTCAACTACATGCATGTATTAAAGCCAGTCAAGCCAGAATCAAATGCATTGCTAATTTTCCTATTGCCCATAGCTGTAAGCGTTACGGCAGAAAACTCATCAGTAGAGTCTCTGAATACAGAAATATTACTGAGCGCTTGATTAGGCACTACTTAGGCTAAATCAACTGTGACTGAACCATACACTGGATTAACAGATTTAGGGCTATCTGTCATACTCTGAGGCTTAATACCAAGGATTTGAATATTTACAATACATACTGTGAATTTTGAATGGTTAACATTTACACTAGCTTGGATAAGGAAGAAAGGTAAGTCGGAATTCAGTAATTAATTTAAGGTAGATTCGTGTGACTAGAATTTGTTACTAATTTTCATGATTATAATTACTGAGACTCAATGAAAGGGGTTATATATATTTTCACATTTGCATGTTTATTCTATCTATCTATTTGGGTTAGGGTTATAAGCACATAAAATGTGAAAAATATTACCTCTTTTATTAAGTATAAGTAATTTTGATCATGAAAATTAATAAGATTTATCAACATAGGACCTACTTTAATATAAGTTGTACACCCTCTTGTTATAATGTTTGTTAGTTGTTTTAAATAAATAGTTACGCGTTTAATGTGATAACCCGTCATGGTTAACTCAATTAAAATGCATACATACGAGGGTTGTCCCAGAAGTAATGCATATATATCATATCCTGAAGTTGCAGCATCCAACATTAACATCAAGTCTTACTATGGCTGCTATAACAACATGGGGGTAGGGGTGGGCGGGACAGGTACCAATTTCTCTAATTATGAAAAGATCTAAAGTGTTATTTTATTAATATTTCTTAAATGTTTTGAAAATTTGGAAAATTTATTCAGCATGATGTTAACCAAGTACGAATAATGACATTTAGCACTGTGATGTCATAATACCACATTTCAATAGTCACGAATTAAAATACAGTCACAGTCAAGAAATTGCAAAAATGGCTGCAATTCTCACCTGATAACAGAAGGCCTTGCGTTTGGTGGCCTAATTTCATATTTCACTTGGACTCACAACCACGCAAAACAATGCTATCATGAAGAAAGTATATAAGGAGTATATACCAGATAGAACTACACTTATAGGGTGGCAGAAGAGATTTAAAAGAGACGATTTGACCCTGTATGACAACTCCAAACATGGGAGGCAAAAACTCCACAAGTCACAGTGGAAGAAATTGCCGAGAGTGTTTGACCTGACAGGCATCAAAAGAACATAACATGCAAAGGGCAATATTTTGACAAAATGTGAAATGGGACACCGTGCAATATGCATCTATTAAATCATTTAGTATCTTAAAATGTATTTTTGAGCATACTTCTTATAGCTACACCAAATGGTATTTGTTGATTAATTATTTCATATTTTCAATTTTTTATTCCTTTTGACGTGACTGTATAACCTGCCCCACCCTACCCAAACTCACCAACTTGATTTTATTATAACATCAATATATTTTTATCAGTCAACATGAAATTTTTTAGAATAATCAAAATGTCTCCAAGGAACATTTACTTGAAATTTCATGGAAAAATATCAATTATTGATAAAGTTAGAGCATATAGTGCTTCTGGGACAACCCTCGTATATAAAATGTTATGTATTTACAATAGGTGTATTCAAGGATTGTTTTTTGTTTCTAACCCTTTTAGATCATTTCAAAATGTTTTAATATTGTTTACATTGGACACAATGGACTCTTCATATTTTTTCATAGTAGTGGGTTTGACATTTCGTTAATGATACGTATCGTCGGAGGATAGATTGATTACATATTGCATTTCATTATATTAACAGTTTGTACGTCTATCCAGGGTTGTATAATCTAATTTCATGTGTATACGAGTAGTTTTACAATCATTTGAATTATTTACAATATGAATTAGGCTATTGATCTTCAAATGCTACAATAACATGTTGACCTTGTACGATCTATATATCGGGTGTCCTAGAAAAAAGTTAAGTATTTTCTCGGAAACTGGTACACCAAATCCACAGAAAATCCGTACAAAGTAGCCCAAGATTATCCTTATTAAGATACAACATATGAAAAAGATCGAGCAAATGTTATGCGAGTACTAAAAAAATTCAAAAGATCCCATACAAGAGCAATGCAATGAGAACTTCATAGCGTGTGTACCTAAAATGGGAAGCAATTTGACAAGTAATTTCTTAGCAATAGATGAATCAAATTCTTTGAAAACTTCACTTGAGCCATTTGAGGGTACTGCATGTTTCTGCTAGTGTCATTAATAACTAAGCGAACGGTCTCAAATCATGTGTGTATTTTTGAATTAAAGACAGCATGTCAAAATAATCAATATCAATGTAGAAGTCACTTATTAATCCATTTCCTAGCTAAAATACTTTTCCATATTTATTCTTACAATATCAACTCCAATGAATTTTGAGATTGGTTAGATTTTGGATATTTGGGAAGAATGTTCAACGAATTAATTAGACATTACACACAGACAAGCTATTTTGACTGATTGACAGATGTTATCACCTGATAGCTGATACAAACAATATGGACGTCTCATCACAGAGTTCCGATATGGAAATTTTTTATATGCTATTTTGAATTTCTTTTCTTAGAATATCTACTTGATAGTTTTTATATTTTTACAACTTGATGATTAAACGTTTTAGACTTGAAGTCAATTTTTGCCTCTCACCTGTTTAATTTGCCGATTCTTATTTGCTTTTCTATTCAACTTTATCTGGCTTTGATTTGTCCCATCTGATCAAAACTACGCCACAACACCCTTATATAATCTCCTAATCCTGATTCCATAAAATGTTCTTTCCTGTAAATAACCAGTCTCTTTATGTATACACTCCCCTCCATAAGTTTGGCTCCATTTAACTACGTGTTTAAGCCTCTTCCTTTGAATTTTTATTTGCTTAACCTGCGATGAAAATACTTATACTATTGATGGAAACGGAATTTGACTTTACTTCAATACCTCCAAATTTTCTCAATTTTTTCCTCAATAACAATAAGTCGAAAATTGATGATAAATGCCCCAAGTCATATGACAAAATATTCATTTAACAAAAAGTGATACCTTTATTCAGGATCAACAAATTAATAGGTCTTTAAAGTCAAAATTATTTTTCAAAAAAAGATCTCCCATTGAAATAACACAGGAGGCGAACATGATTTTCAAAAATGACTTTGAAGCTCAATACTTTAGTATTCATCAAGTAAACTAAACACTTAGTGTAGAAAAAGGTTAGACAATTCAATTTTCTACATAAAAATATTTTTCATTTTGCTGAATCTTTACTGAATAGATATCCAGATTTCTCATTTGCCCCGAACCCTCCATTTCCTATTGGTTTACACGGGAATGACGATTTTCAAAAATTCATCAATTTTGACCGATTGTAATCGAGAAAAAAGATTGGGATGATTTGGAGGTCTTGGAAATAAAGCCAAGTTACGTTTCCATCAATATTATAAGTTATTTCAACGCAACTTAAGTAAAATTCAAACGTAAAGAGGTTTTAACACGTAGTTCAATGGAGGAGCTAAGGTTGCCAAACGTATGGAGGGGAGTATACCATTAAACCAAACATTTGCTTCACCTTTTTTAATTTGCCTTAATTGTTTACATTTGCTTTACCTATTGGAAAATACTGGCAACATTCCTGGATACTCTTGGAATCCCGATCTAATAAATGTTCCTTTTAATTCCTGTAAATATCAAGTCTCATTTCCCCTTTAACTAAACATTTCCTAATTTAGCTACTGTTTACACCCCTAATCGTTCGAATCGTTACGTCATAAAAATGACCATTCCAGGAAATGATGGGACTACTCTTGCAATGTGCCCTTGTGCTCATTCTTTCCAATCTTTCGCTGGGAGGAGCTGATCAAATTGAAGATGCCGATCAGATGATTGGCTGCGGAAATAATGTTACATCAAACCCAGGTGATAGAGAATGGAAGAGTGGAAACGTGAAAGAAGAGATCATGGTTGAATGGATGTTTGGAAAGGTAAGATTTAATAAATGATTTTTTTAAATTCTGAATGGTCATTTTTGAAAATTTTCATATCAAGTATCGATGTTTCTTTTAACTCACTAAAGGATTCAGTGCATTGTTTGCCGAATCATACCATGAAGGTGTTATTTCAAAACCTTTGAATGATCGCGCAGCGAGAATGCAAAGTTTAAGAGTAGAATGAAGCAGCTACCATGCATTGAGTCTTGGGCTTAAATTGTTTTCACACATTGCAATTTTTCTCCAAAGGGAGCGAAATCACCAAAAGAACAAATTTTCAATGAACCTTTTTACAGGGGTCAAGTTGGCAAGTCATCAAAACCAATGTGCAAAGTCCATTCATCACCATGACAACTGTTTAACTATTGACCTTGCTTGTGTTGTTGATATTTCACACACTGTTCTTTATGTGAAATACTGTGTTCAGATTGGCTGGAATCGGACACACTTTGCTACCTAGCTATGTGTGAATACAGATTAATTTTCTTAGACACTTACGTTCCTCTCAATCACAGGGCCAATGGCAACCTTCTCAATCGGTATCTTTGTCGATAGCAGTGAAATACTAATTGCTAATCCACATGTAGTAGTCAAGTGGTTCTCTTGAACTTTTGATGCAGCCATCTTTTGTCATGTACAATAAGATTAAGCAAACCGTGTCTGTATCAATAGTAACAGTTTTGTAACTTTTTATATTTGCAGTATGTACTATTTTGTCAGATGTAAATGCAATCTAGGGACATAAAGTGCATAGAGTATTTGCTATGAAAAAAGCTCCCCGTCGGGCGTTTTTCATTGGCATAGTCATATGTAACAGTTGTTACGTCTTTGAACTCTGAACCATGTACAAGTGGTTACATTCTTTCTTGTCTTGCAGGAAACATGCAGTTCATACAGTAGTTGCTATGGAGGCCCAAAAGTGAACAGTTCTATGATCCCCAATTGAAACCAATAGTTGTTACGTCTTTGAACTGTGAACCATGTACAGGAGGTTACATTCTTTCTTGTCTTGCAGGAAACATGCAGTTCATACAGTAGTTGCTATGGAGGCCCAAAAGTGAACAGTTCTATGATCCCCAATTGAAACCAATAGTTGTTACGTCTTTGAACTGTGAACCATGTACAGGTGGTTACATTCTTTCTTGTCTTGCAGGAAACATGCAGTTCATACAGTAGTTGCTATGGAGACTCAAAAGTGAACAGTTCTATGATCCCCAATTGAAACCAATAGTTGTTACGTCTTTGAACTCTGGACCATGTACAGGTGGTTACATATTTCTTGTCTTGCAGGAAACATGCAGTTCATACAGTAGTTGCTATGGAGACTCAAAAGTGAACAGTTCTATGACACCACAATTGAAACCAATAGAGATACAACCTGGAACTGTTGTTAGGTATACACTGGTGATGCAAAACTATTTTTTTAATTTATTTGTTCTTAGAAATACAAATAAAAGCCTTTCTGGAAAAGTCACTCTACTCCGATGACGCAGTGGCTTTGGCTATATACCTGTATAAGTTTTTGAAAACGAAAAACGAAATTCTGCGCTAGGTTTGAATGTAAAACGAAAGTCCATCTTAGTGTGGATTGATACAACGAATGGCTCTCAATGTGTTTGATTATATCTGAAAAACCAAAGCAGAACTTAAAATGAAGGAATAATTAAAGCTGGTACTTTTTGATACACTGAGACGGCACAAATATTTAACATACTGGAGATGTGCCGCACTACTGATCCATTATAGTATAGCAGTACATTATATTAAAAACACTCTTAAATCACTCTCTGTATAACAATAAAATTACAAATTGTAGTTTTAGTATACAGTGCGTCCCAAAAATCGCAACAAGCAAAAACATTGTAAAACACAAAACTAGTGATGATGTCATCAATTTCAATTAATTCACCATGAAGTCACGTGTCTCCTCTTTTCAATGATATGTCATTTGTTCATATGTAATCATGTACCACAGGTAAAATTATTATGTAATTGGGACCAAAGATTAATTCTAATCACAAGACTTACAGAACAAGTTTTAGATTTAGATATACTGAGAAAAAAGATTTAACTTTAAGGGTCATCAGTATCCTTGATGGTTTAGTTAACTTTAAAAACATTGGAGAAAGATGTCGAAAATGTTTAGTCTCAATCATTGTCTCTCATCTTACGATAGAGTACAATCTATGCCCCTTCATATGACCATCATTTCTGTACATAGAGAGACTGGCTCGCCTTAAGGCTAGTACAAGCGACTGGGCGCCGTAACCACGAGGTTGCGAGTTCGAGACGCGTGTGCTCCTTGTGTTAATTCATCAATCACAAACACCTCTTTAAAATCATCTGTGGGCTCTGGCTGAGAGCAGCAACCTCATTGGTTATTTTCTGTTAACTTTTGCAATGTCTAAAGCTTGGTCAAGAGCAGATTTTGAAGAAATGGTTATTTGCATGTAGTGGTCTGTTGTCATTCCTGAATAAATTACATACTTTTGGAAAGAGGGGACACGTGGCTTCCTGGTTATCTAAATCAAATTGATGTAACACTGTTGTGGTTTTACAATGTGTTTGATTGTTGCGGTTTTTGGGACACACTGTTCTCGGGACGCACTTTGGGAAGCACTGTATGTTGATCGACAAGACAAAATAAAGAAAATAAAAACCTTTAGCCGCAAAGGTTGTGATATTTGATAATTAAATAATTGCACTGTTTTTATCTGTTTTAACAGATTCTTCCCTTCAAAAAAGATGGACATAGAGTTTTCCATGAAAGTCTTTTATGTGAGTGAAGACAACTTCAAACTGTGTCTTCCACATGGTACAGCACTAACCAAAGACAGCCAGACAGAGCCTTTTATTGTGAATCAGGAGTTCTTGAAACTAGGCTCAAATTATTTCATAGGTGAGAACATTATACCTTTCAAATAATTCCTGCCAGGTTTTGCAACATGAAGGAAACTACAAGATGACCCAAAAAAGTAGCCCAAATAAATCTTAATACTTCTGTCATCCAGAATGGGTTTTTAGCCATATTTGAATCCCGTTGGTTTATTACCAACAATCGCGATTGTATGGCCATTTTACAAATCATGCTCAAAATGCCAAAACATGCCAAATCGAGAATGGGAACCATTACACAATAGATTTGAGAGCGTTTAGTAAAGGAAAACTAGTACTGAAATTTGAACTTTCAGTTGAAATTGCCCTTTTTGTACACTCAAGTAAGACACATTTCTGAACTTGGCCGTAAATAAATCATTTCTTATTTCAGTTTATAATGCAGATGACCATATTTTCCAATGTCGGTTTGGGTTGAAATTAAATATCACAGTGAAAGAAGAGCAGTGTTTTCTCAACACAACGCTGTGCTCAGACAGGGGACGCTGTCTTACTAGACAGACTGAGGTATTTTGAAATCGATTTCAGTGGTATCAAATAAAATTTGATTACAGTTGCTGTAATCGAACCCAAACAATCATATTTAAAGAGTAAATCGAATGATTTGAAGAACATAATAAACTTTCGTTTATACTTCGGAGGAGTTTGTCTTTTTTTTATTGTACGTCCAAAATAAAAAGTTTCATCAAGTTAAATTTAGCTGTATAGTACTACTAAAAATATCCCAATATAAAATAATAATTATTTTTTAGAAATATTACACATGTAGATGTTGTGAGGGGTTCACAGGGACATTTTGTGAAGATGTGGATTCTTGTAACAGCTCCTCCTGTCAGAATGGTGGGAAATGTGTTGATGTTTACGGCGATGAAACTGGCGGGAAATTCAAATGTGATTGTGCAATAGGTAAACACCTTTTTGGGTTGATCTATCTATGGACAGCACTAGTTCAGTACATATAATGTTTGTGCATTTTGATATATGTGTATTCTAATATCAGACCTCCTAATACTGGCGGGAAATTCACATGTGATTGCGCAATAGGTAAACACCTTTATGGGTGGATCTATCTCTGGACAGCATTAGTTCAGTACATATAATGAACTAGTGGCTTCATATTATGTATGTGCATTTTGATATACGTGTATTCTAATATCAGACCTCCTGAAACTGGCGGGAAATTCACATGTGATTGCGCAATAGGTAAACACTTTATGGGTGGATCTATCCATGGACAGCATTAGTTCAGTACATATAATGTTTGTGCATTTTGATATATGTGTATTCTAATATCAGACCTCCTAATACTGGCGGGAAATTCACATGTGATTGCGCAATAGGTAAACACCTTTATGGGTGGATCTATCTCTGGACAGCATTAGTTCAGTACATAAAATGAACTAGTGGCTTCATATTATGTATGTGCATTTTGATATACGTGTATTCTAATATCAGACCTCCTGAAACTGGCGGGAAATTCACATGTGATTGCGCAATAGGTAAACACTTTATGGGTGGATCTATCCATGGACAGCATTAGTTCAGTACATATAATGTTTGTGCATTTTGATATATGTGTATTCTAATATCAGACCTCCTAATACTGGCGGGAAATTCACATGTGATTGCGCAATAGGTAAACACCTTTATGGGTGGATCTATCTCTGGACAGCATTAGTTCAGTACATATAATGAACTAGTGGCTTCATATTATGTATGTGCATTTTGATATATGTGTTTTCTAATATCAGACCTCCTGAAACTGGCGGGAAATTCACATGTGATTGCGCAATAGGTAAACACCTTTATGGGTGGATCTATCTATGGACAGCATAAGTTCAGTACATATAATGTTTGTGCATTTTGATATATGTGTATTCTAATATCAGACCTCTTGAAACTGGCGGGAAATTCATTTGTGATTGCGCAATAGGTAAACACCTGTATGGGTGGATCTTTCTATGCCCAGCATTAGTTCAGTACATATAATGACTAGTGGCTTCATATTATGTATGTGCATTTTGATATATGTGTATTCTAATATCAGACCTCCTAGACTCCCAACAACCCGAACATCAGTTCTGACCGCGCAAGCTACGTTCGTTGCGCTCGAACCACGATTCTCACATCGCGAACATGAAATCTTAAGTCACGGACCACCGTTTCCTTGCTCCCGAATATATTTCTCCACTCGAGAACAGAGATCCGTGATCGCAAACTATTTGTACATATTGCATCTGGGCATTTGGGATTCCAATTGCAAGCAACAACAAGTTTACATTGACCCTTATACATGTACACATAAGCTATTTCAATAGAGTCATTAACTATCCGCAGCCAATGGAAAGCCATTTTTTGTTTTTATTACCAAGCCCTTTGCTGATGCGTGGGATCGCAAAGTAGTCTCAATGTTTTGTGTTTCCTGGAGCTTGAAGATACCGTTATCTTCAACTAGTGGATATTCAATTACATGCATGAAAAACTTGGAAAGTATTTCTTCCAAAATCTAAGTAAAAACACTTCGTTGGAATTTTAGTTATGCGTTTAATACGAATAAAATAACGGATTGTTCCCGAGCACGGATCTCTGTTCGTGAGTAGAGAAATATGTTTGGGAAAGAGGAAATGGTGGTTCGCGACATACGATTTTACGTTCGCGACGTGAGAATCGTGGTTGAAGCGCAAGGAACGTAATTCGCGAGGTCGGAACTGATCTTCGCGTTGATGGACGTCTAGGAGGCCTGAATATATACTTGCTTTATTTGTGTTTTGAATTTCAGGTTACTATGGCGCTACATGTCAAAACCATGTAGACAACATGTGTAATGTTGAAGGACTGTGCAAACATGGCGCCAGTTGCCATGGTGACAGATATACATATCATTGTAATTGTACGGAGGGGTATTTCGGGGATCGCTGTGAAAATGAAGTTAATGAATGTGATTCAACTCCATGTAAGCATTACGGACAATGCATCGATCGTGAAGGTGGATATGAATGCTACTGTATCCCAGGTATATTGTGCTTATGCTAGGTCCAAGGGTGATTCCCTTTTCCCTTATAATAGCCGAACTGGGATAGTTCCAATCTCCCAGTCTACATGACCACATATTTCCAATACAGAGGATATAGGAAAAACTTCTAACATACCATGTTCTTCGAGGCAATGACATAAACTGTATTCAATGTGAACTGTAGAAATGTACGCATTAAAGTATTTTAGACTATGGGGGTATGCACTGCATACAGTATTTGTGCAATTGTTTATTAACATTTTATGTTTTTTTGTTTGTTATTGTTTTTTTGTTTATTAACATGTTATTACAATAGAGTATAGGACATACATGTAAACTGTAAGCATGTACAATGAACAAAGTATTCATTTTCATTGTCATAAACTGTGTATATATTGTAGGGTAGGGGGCATAAACTGTAAACATGTACAATGAACATAGTATTAATTTTCATTGTCATAAACTGTGTATATATTGTAGGGTAGGGGGTATAAACTGTTATACAATGAACATAGCATTCATAAACTGTGTGTATATTGTCCGGTATAGGGCGCATAAACTGCAAACATGTACAATGAACATAGCAATCATAAACTGTGTGTAAATTGTAGGGTATATGGGGCACACATTGTATATATTTATATATTGTATTATACAGCAATATAAACTATAGCCAACATAGTATGGGATACAAGGGCATACACTGAAGCTAATATTGTAGTATCTTTTTATTGACACAAAATGTGTACAAATTATAAGCTACGGGGGCATAAAGTGTGAGATGGAGTACAATGAGTGTCTATCAGGTCCTTGTGGGAACCAGGGGATGTGTATTTACAAACTAGATACACATTGTAATTTATGTCCATTAACACAAACTGTGTACAAATTATAGGCTACGGGGGCATAAACTGTGAGATCGAGTACAATGAGTGTCTATCAGGTCCTTGTGGGATGCATGGGATGTGTATTGACAAACTAGACAGCTTTGAATGTATATGCGCTCCTGGCTACAATGGAACTGATTGTTCTCTCAGAGTAAGTGTTTAAACCATTCATAGATCTGTTAAAATCTGAAAACTAAAACATGATATATATCTGTGCCAGGATGAATCTGATAACTAAAAGAAGAGCCATTGGGATGAAATGTAAATGGAATAATTGCTTGAAGGATCATAACTTGCATTTGTTGTTCAAGGATTTAAGCCTTGGACTCAGTACATTGTGTGCTGAACCATTCCACGAAGATGCTGTTTCTAAATCTTTGGATTCTCCCCCAAAGAAGAGCCATTGGGATGGAATGCAAATGGAATAACTGCTTGAAAGGAACAAGGATCACGACTTGCATTTGTTGTTCGATTATATTAATCACTTGCATTTGTTATTATTAGGTGGATGGCCCATGTGTGTCATTCCCCTGTAAAAACGGTGGAAGGTGCCATGACAACGAAGATTTTGACAACAGCTTTAGCTGCCACTGTCACAGAAACTACACAGGGCAACTGTGTGAAACACAAGGTATAAATATTTCAAGTGGTAAAGGTATAATCATTTCGATATGTCCCTGGTATTTCGCATAAAGGGCAACGTAAGAATACTACAACACAGTGCATTTTCTATAGAAAATGTTATACAAAAAACATCCATTTAAAATACCAACTGTGGCTTTGATATTAAAATCGAGGCCTTATTAAAACCCCCCTATATATATGTATACAGACTAGACATTTTTCATTTTTCAATAATATCAATTTAAAATACTTGGGTGTTTCTATGTCATTGCAAATTGAAAGTTGTCTGCATTTTAGTGGAGAGAGTGGAGACGTTTACCCCACATGCGGCATTCTCGGGTCATCTAGGTTACGTGAACAATCTATACATTATAGCTGGTACATTAGCAGGTATGGGTTAAAAGACATCTACTACCCCGGTACAGATAATTCCGTACCAAATTGCCTGTTTACATAATACGGAATATATCAGAGGATTCCAGTAAAAATATAAACATATAAAGTAATAAATATATTTTAGCAAGTACTATATAATATCATCCTCAAAGTTTCTAGTGGAACAAATCTCCATTTCTGTTGGATAAGTCCCTGTGCAATATTACTCTGTAAAATAATTACAGGACTCTCCAATGAACAATATTCTGATTAACTCAATTGTATACCAAATGTGCTGTAGCCAAGACTATCCATTGTGATAGGAAGGCTCTTTTGCAACATCCGTAACTGTCATTGGCCTTGGGAGTACTAACAATGAGGACAGTATAGATGATCACACTTCTACAACACTTCTATAATATCAAAAGTGCTCTTCAGTGTACCCGATGATGCAGCCATTATAATACTGGATGGTACATATCTCTACATTAAAAAGAATGGAAACTATACATTTCTGAGGATATATAGTCAAACCTATCGTTATTACAGCAACAAGCAGTGGTATGATTTCAATATGAGGTCCTTATGAAATAACAATGATCCCGCTATGCTTCAACATATATTTCGAGTAGATTTGGTCAGTATCCAAGCTTGGCTACACCCTGGAGGTGTGGCTGAAGTAGACAGGAGATTCAGGGATGTTTGCAAGTTCATTGGCAACACCGAGATGGCATGCCGCACTTTGACTCGTTGGGGATCCGTTTGATCATAACGACACCAGGTTTGTGACCAAAGTCAGATGAGGTGTGGAGGGCGTCAATGGAAATATAAAACTGTGGACAGATTTAAAAAATAACAGCAAATGTAATTTGTTCTAGATTATCTCTTAACCATCGAGGCAGTCTGCAACAAATATCGCCCAAATTCTTAGCAATTTCTGTACCATTATGACTAATCAATTGCTTTAGAGATGCAAGCAGAGTCTGGTGTTTCCAACCATGTTCAGGCCAGAGTTGGACAAAGTGTCCTGAATATCCATGGTGACAATTGAGTAAACCTGAATGTAGATGCAGAGACGGTCATCGATGAAAACATTACTTAAATTATATTTCAGAGTTCCTACAACTTTCAGAGGCAAGGATTTTAGGTCTAATTTTCGGTGTGTAAGCCTACCAGCTGAAACAAGCTCAACATTACTCTGATGAGCATCTTTTATAACAAGGAAGGTATGGGAAATCCGTGGAACCCTACTATTACCAACCCCGTAAGGGCAAGACTCCAGTCTCGGCATACGGCAAAATATATTTCACTTGGATTGGATATTACAACAGCTCCACAATTCCAATTACATGGTGGTATTGCACAAATAACATTGGAGAGTGTTGTTTGATGTTGCCCTCATGTAACATGTATCATATGGTACATTGTCAGACATTAAAGCTAAAAACAATCAGACAAGAAACCAATGGGACGACTCGTGAGTCATGGCTGCCTCTGAAGATGATATATTCCAGAGGGATTGAACTAATATTCATTTAGCCATGGACATTACTCGCAAAATAGCTCTCATCCTAATTGACACTAAAATATTACAATCAGTAGGTCCGGGATACTTCTTTTCCGAAAATATCAAAACTTGAAAATAATTCCTCTTCTTAGCAGGACGAAAAGTTCTAAAATGAAAAAAAAATTACATGCACCTTTAACTGCATATCCCTGGCCACACACTTCAACGTCCTCAAAGAGCAATATCGACCCATACGGTCCACCAGGGTAACGCCCCTGCTCACAGATCCTCTATTCTCCTAAATGCAATAACAGAGCTTGGCATGGAAGCATTGCCACACGCAGCATATTTCCCAGATAAGGCCCCACTTGATTTTGTTGTATTCGTCCCAGTGAAAAGCTTGCAATGTATTTGGTATTTTTGAATTTTCCGAAAATATCAAAACTTGAAAATAATTCCTCTTCTTAGCAGGACGAAAAGTTCTAAAATGAAAAAAAATTACATGCACCTTTATTTATTCTTATCCTTTAATAATGCAACATAGAAATAGTACAATTTGGAAAATCACAACTAGATTTTCATGTTATGCACCAAAGAGACCTGAGATTAAATTTCAAGTACATGTACATAGTTTCATTTTACATGTTCATCATTGATACAAAAAAACTATTTACATATTTTTTTATCAAACCTTTTCGGGGCAGATTTAGCTACTATGGGCAACGGATCCTTTTAAATATTAATTCAAAATGTATGGCACATAACAAATGACAGGCAGAATTACTGAATCTGCAGCCACTATTACCATTTGAATAACCCTCTAACATAAGCTTTAAATGAATACAGAAAATATTAATTTATATGCATTTCACTTTTAACCTAGAGGGACATATTTACTTGAAGATACATAGAGGTTCATTTTTGGATTTTGGATTAAGGCCTTTGCCCTTTTCACGTCTCATATTATAATGATCGCATTTTATTTTCAGGTGCATTTGTAATTTCTCTGGTTGTCCTAGCAATGTGCTACTGCAGAGTCTATAAGACATACCTACATATCAGCTGCAATCCATATAAATATAAGCAATACACAAATTGGGGGTAAGTATAGTACATGATCATGTGCTTTCAAGAGAACGTCCATGATTACATGTATATCGATTGCAAGCATACGATATTGAGAGATAGTTATAATTAAAAGCAAACTCATATATGCTGGGAAAAAAGTAACCATCCATTGGCATAATATTGTTTACGAGAATTGGAAAGAATTTAGAATTGTTTGAATAACGGACAAATTATTCGCGTAATTTAACAAACACTTCAAACTTAATTTACCACCACCTAAGGATCGGTCGACTACTGAACCTTTTACAAGTAAATTCGTTATTTTACACATTTTTTAAATTAAAAGCCATTTTAATGAAAAATCATGTTGTTGTTTCTGTTGTATATCCGTCACTCTGAATTAATTGTAATTTTTTTTTTTAAATGCTATATTTTCAGTGACTCAAGCAAGACCAGTGATAAAGATGATGTCAACAGAGACGGTATGAAACACTCCTCAGGTGACGTGTCCGACGTTGTCATGGTTACAAACAACACCAATAACATGAGGGACCGGACTCTATTTGATGAGTTGCAACCAAGAAACATATAATCTCTCATTAACGGAACATCATGGAAACTACTGTTAAACTAGAAAGCTTTAGAATAGTACTGTCTGCATTTTTAACGTTACTGGGCGAGCATTAATCGTCCGATTGACATTGGGAGTATTTATTATCAAAAGGCGTAGCTAGGATGTAAAATAAGGCGAGGCAAATTTGAATTTAACATTATACTATTGGATTTAATTCAAAAGTTTGGCAAAAAAATGCCTGCACTGATTTTTCTGTATATTTTGGCAAGGCTCTGTTCTTGCCCGCCTCGTACCAGGCTACGCGTATAATATCTGCAATTCTTTCTTGATTCTTGATGACTTAATTGATTGTTTGTTATTCGATAAAGTGAAAAATGCCTCTCATTAAAATATTACACTCTGGTCATCCTGCAGTACGTTTTGAACTCCTAATGTAGGATCAAGATGAAAACTGACTGAGTTTTATTATATCTATTTGATCTCATTTGATTTTATATAGTATAAACCTGTGGGAATGGGTATATAAATTATAATAAGGTTGGTTTATTTGTTTGTTTTTTATGTTTTTAAGTATTTGTTGTTTTTTGTAAATATATTTGAGATACGTGTGTGGAGGATGTTAATAAACTAATTTAATAAAAATAAGCCTACCTGAAAATCTAGAAAATATAAATCCGTTTGATCAACGCAAGCACTAAATTAAGCTAATATTGGCATTTTTATTCTCAATGTATGGATGTTGGGGGTTTATATATTTGATTAGATGTGATTAACCAACCGACCTATTTGGTGAGTGATTGTTAATTTTGCATACTTTTTTTTATTTGACATGTACATGGCATATAAAAAATGAAGAATAAAGTTATGAATTAAAGTAAAGATGTATTGTGTGGAATACTATTCATGATCCAGTGATTGTAATGCTTCGAGAGAGTAACGATCAGAAGAATATGTAAAGGAAGTCAGAAAAGTAGAACTAGACAATACATTTCTGATTAAATTAAGGGGTTAAATGAAAACCTTGATCACATGTAGAATAAGTTGAAGGTCCCTCCTCTCTCTAGTCCAGAGACTAGTCATACAAACCACAGAAGAAAGTACGGGGGAAAACAGGTATAGTAAAATGTATAAGAAATTATAATGACGAGGGACATCGTAAAAATAATATCATACTGTGTAATATTCCAAAGAACTGGCTAACAAGATCAAATAAGGTTGAAAAAAGGGCAACGGGTCTATTCAAGAATGGTTTAGACATTGAAGATATGAGCATTGAGAAACCCCATCGACTATAGTAAAGTAAAAATAGGGCCTCTTTAATGACACTAACTCACTAACGACAAAACATAAAATTCTCACGAAAGCCAAACAACTTTGGGATAGGGGGAACAATCTAGGAACATCCATATAAACCCCTATATAATCCCGCTGGAGAAAGCTGAATCGTATAAACCACAAGAAGCTACAAAGATCTAGGACTCGAAATGACAACAATTAGAAAGGGAAATTAATACTCAGTCATTCCAGATAGTAATGCATTTTGCATAAATATCTAAATCGATGCATACTGGTTTTCGGACCAGTTAACTCTTTTTGGTGTTTTTCATTTGAACAATATAATGGTATTTTGGGAGAGCAAAGCAAACCACACGTTGTTGGCTCGGCAATATGGCAACCCTCACGTGTGAAAAACGGCCGATGGGTCCTCCTGCTTAAGGACAATGTGAGAGGGGTCAGTGTTAAATGCAGTCTGTCATTCATACAGCTGATGTTGTCAGCGTAACAAATGCTTTGGTCTGAGAATACTAAAGAAAAAGATACTTCACCATATAATATAAGACAAGACAAGAGCTTTAAGCTGAACTATGAAATGAAAAGGAATATATATTAAAAGTATAAGTATTATTAAAGAAACTAAAGAACAAATGGCTGCACCAAAAGTCGAGAGTTTCTATATTTCCGAGAGGGCGCTCACAAACCTACTAGACCATATGCCGATGCTTTTGGAACGTATGGATGTTACCCTTTCCCCCGCTCACTCATCGCAGGAATGGCTTGCGCCAAAAAAACAAAAAACAAAAAGTGGGGAAGCGCCCTTCCAGCTCTTTAACAGGACCTCAGCGCCCTTCCAGCTCATTAACAGGACCTCAGCGCCCTTCCCCTCAAGACCCTTGATCGGACCTCCTGAAAAGAATAGCTGGGTGGAAAAACCCATTACAGTAAGTTGATTTTCGTTAATTTTATTACTTTAGAATGATACATTTTTCATAATTCTATACTGAGTACTTAAAAATAACTTCGTGATAAAGTTTACTTTTAGTTTGTTGTACTGAGTAAAAAAAATCGAGGGTCCGAATGGTGTTTATAAATGGTAAACTGTCATACTCTTAATTGTATTATATTTTTCTGTTAGGAAAGACGCGATTAGTTTAAATTTAAGGTATCTTAGTACTCAACAGAAAATGATGAATACTGCTGAAACGAAAAAAAAACATAAAAAATGGCGGTCATGAAAAGTAAAATATCAAACACAATTTCGTATGTTTCGAATTTATTTCGTTACCATAAAGCTTTGCTTTTAGTTATTTTTCAGGCTGAAAAAAAAACATTTGAAAAAACTGAAACTTTCTTTTTTCAGTTGCAGTTACTAACGGACACAACACCCGGTAGCTCTAGCAGTAGCTCGGAGGACCTACCAAACATATTACCGTTACTTCCTGAAATTGAATCGAGAAAGGAGAACTCGGGAGACAAGAGTAAAGACTCGTGGAAATCGATGAGTGTAATACCATAGTTAGTGGTGCATGTATTCTAAAAATGAAGTAAGATTCGATATATAATTCTTTCATCGTTACTAACATTGTATACTAGCGATAATAAATTTTAAAAAAGGATTTACTTCAGACGCTCCTGTTTAGTTATTGCACATTCCGACAATAATTTGAATTTCTTTTAAAAAATATATTGTGTTAACATGCGTATCTCGTTAGGGTATATTTTGTTTATGTATTATCTTTTAAAAAAATCTTATATCAGGATTTTGATATGAGCGGTGTAGAAGAGATGATCGCCGCAATACAAAAATGCAGAAATAACTTCAAAGTATTGTAACGGAAATGCCGTTTATTGTCTCCATACAGTGGATATTCCTGGTGAAGTAAATAATGGGGGGGGGCAGGCCATTAGTTAAGTTTAGTCCAGTAAGGTTATTTTGTGCAAGATGATACAAACTTGGGAGTGACATGAAATTTTCCACTACATTAAGCAACCCTTTTAGTAAGAACATACATTTTTTAATGGAGTTATGTAGTTTTTAGATTGTTATCAGTTGATACGGGATATAATTACATGTACTGTACCAGTCACTCCCATGATTGTATCATCAATAATAAGTCCTGACACTTGAGGGCACTTGTCAATCAGAAACAAATTTGGAAGTTGGGGTCCTATCCCAGAGTCAGGATTTGGTCATGTGATTATGTGGGTGGGATTGTATCTGGCATTTTATGGACTTGGTCGGGTTGATGTGATGAACTAAAAAAAGTGTAGATTCAATCATACTGTATCATACTTAGGTATAGGAAACTTTAACTCAACACTTCTTTCATCTTACATTTATTTAATCACAGAAGTAGGTGTTAAATTACACGTAGACAACGTAACTCATTATTTACAATATTTAATAGACTAAAATATATATTGCATAATTTGATATTAAATACTCAAGCTACATACTAAATCTAAACTCATTATTTTTAAAGACAGTGAATGAGATTAAGACCACATTTTAATAGTTTCATATTGTAGTTTCGATTTGAAGAACTCACAGATAATCATTTGATCTGTTATACATGTATTCAAGTTTGGTACCATAATAAACATTTGCTATATGATTATTGACTTAAACTCCTATTCTGTTGCATTAGTAAGTCTACAGAGCTCAAGACACAATCCGCTTAAGATCTATGTAAACCATTTCTATTAATGAACGGTACTTTAATTAAGTCTTAATTGAGCTTGAATTTGTCCTCAGATGAAGAGCGTTTTCGTTTACTTTAAACATTCCAAATAAGCGCAAAAATCCACATTAGTGTAATTATAAATTATTTCAACTCATGCCTACCCATGCCCTGAAGGTGATTACATCTTGGAGACCGATGCCAGCAAAACTGCAATGGGCGCCGTTCTTTCCCAGAATTTTTTGCTTCGAAGCAACAGGAGGAGGAGAAAGTGTTGTCTTACGCTAGCAAGGTGTTCAGCTCAGCAGAACGAAACTACTATACCACTCGTAGGGAACTGTTGGCCGTGGTGACTTTCGTCGAACACTTTAGACAACATCTCTATGGACAGGAATTCCTGATACGCACTGACCATGGTTGGACAAGAATGGGGTATTGTGCCTGAAATGGATGAGGAATGTTGGTTCTTTTAAACCACTACTAATGATCCCAAAAGAAACACGATCCATGATGGTACAAGAAGCCCATAAAGGTTATACTGGTGGCCACTTGGGAATGCGCAAGACTCTTGGTACACTCAATGATACAGTCTACTGGCCTAATATGACAGAAGATGCCACACGTCATATTCGAGCCTGTGAGATGTGTGCAAAATACAATGGCACTCAGAAACACCCCAGAGGTAGTCTTCAACATGTGCCAGTGACCCAACCAATGGAAAGAGTGACTTTGGGTGTCCTTTGGCCATTTCCGGTATCCAACCAGGGTAACAAAGTAATTGCCGTAGTCGGTGATTATTTCACGAAATGGGGTGAAGCATTTCCTCTCCTAAATCAGGAGGCAACCACGGTGGCCAGGGCAATGGTGGAGAACTAAGTAACAGGAATGCACAGCAAGAAGGGCGGCCAGTACGTACACGGAGACTCCCAGATCGCTATATCCCCAGAGAAGGGTAAATGATAACTATCTGTTATTGTTGATTGTAGATGGCATCAAGTGGAAAAAACAGAACCCAAGAGTACGAGGAGTGTGGGGAAAAATCTAATTCCAGCTTGACGCATGTGATTAGCCTCGCTTCTATCCATTGGATATGAAGCCCCCCACACCTCTCGGCGAACCAGTCTCAGCATGAGTAATGCTGAAGAACCGTTTCGACCTCACCAAGTCTCTACTCCAAAGCCAGTAGAACCAAGAAATAAGTATCACTTTACAACTCTTTTTGAGCCAGCTGGAGCCACTATGCCATTCTTTACAGAGAACTGGGCATATTCTGCAAAGTTGGGAAAATTATTCGCTAGATTAGGAACGCCGGTTCCAGTTTCCTTCTTTGCAGATGACATATTTCCCAGGGGCACGGTGCTCCGAGCAAAAGCCTATTATTTGGGACCCCATCACACACTTGTGACTAGAAATATTGGCAACTTACCACCTACTGAGAGAGTTAAGCCGGACGCAGCTCACTGGGTCAGATGTGCACATCCAGAGTCCAGGTATAGGCACGACGCTTATGGGCCAAGTGTCGTGATTCCATATTTTCCAAAGGTTGAAAGCAAAACGTTTCAATATGAGTTTCTCTTTGCATATGGGCTTCGGCCATCTGATAACATGCGCCATTTCCCCGTGGAGCTGGTATTCACCTTAGAGGGGGCTCAACAGCAGATGTGGGGTATGACCAGTGATTGAGGTCATGATTGTTGATCATCCTGGGCAGGTCAGAGCCCACGAAGAGCACCTTCACGATTCTAAGGTGAAGAAACAATTAAGAACTGCCATCAAACAGGAAATGGAGAAAAAGAATCAACCCCTTACTGACCCCGAAGAGCAGGGCTATACCATCGTAGTAAGAGGGGCTAACAACTTCAAGGTCCTGAAGAGACTGAGGGATGCCCTTGAACTCAAAGAGTCTGTGTGATGCTGGGAAACCCCTTAGACAGGCTGACAAGGATGGACCTTCCAACTGAAGACTGTGCAGCTTGAACTCCTTTCATATAAATGGCTAAGTTTCCTTATTTCTTCTAACACTGCATGCTAGTTTAGTTGTGGTAATTGCTAATATTGATGTAACTTATTTTCAATGCTAAAATGATTACAAATACTTAATGTTAATTCAAACGTCGTTAGAATATAGGTAAAATTAAGATACAATGATAATGGTTGAAATAGCTCTTTAATGAGGGATTATGTATTCATCGTTATGCTGGCACTTGACACTGTTCTTATTTTTAAATTTTTTTTAAAGTGTTATTTATTTTCGTTATAGAATGGCTGGACCCTACCAACTCAATCCTTTGAGTCTCTCAACTGCCATAAGCTCTCTTCCAAGGTCACCCTGCGCTGTTTATAGTAGTTCGGTGGGACACAGTCTGGCACTCTCCCACTACAGTTATATGGAAGGGGATAGCAGTTCTATTGCCGATTCACAAACATCTGCCTCAGAAATATCAACATCATCCGTTGTTTCATCACTAGAAAAGGCCAGAGCAAAAGATCTACAGGAATTAGACCAACTGTTAGAAACCACCCTTAATTACTACATAAAGCCTCATGAACGGCACTTCCTCTATAAGCTAAGCCCTCAAGGGTTAAGAAATAAATTAAGAGGAGTGCCGAAAGCACTAATAAACAGTCTGCTGTGGGAACGACAAGAACAAGTGAAAGCAGCTAGTTGTATGAGGAGAATGACACGCCCAAAAGGGCAATCTAAATTAAAAGAGACAGAGGCCACAATACAGGACTTGGAACAAAGGCTAGCATTTGTCTCAGGGAGGACTGATGTGTTGGCCAAGGTGGCGGAGAGCTATGGACATCCAGTGTAATAGACTAAAAACGCCGATCCAGGGGTATCGGCTATATGGAGGGGGGTAATGTAACGGAAATGCCGTTTATTGTCTCCATATAGTGGATATTCCTGGTGAAGTAAATAATGGGGGGGGACAGGTCATTAGTTAAGTTTAGTCAAGTTAGGTTATTTTGTGCAAGATGATACAAACTTTGGAGTGACATGCAATTTTCCACTACATTAAGCAACCCTTTTAGTAAGAACATACCAAAATTACCAAAAGAATTTTTTTTAATGGAGTTATGTAGTTTTTAGATTGTTATCAGTTGATGCGGGATAATATAACTACATGTACTGTACCAGTCACTCCCATGATTGTATCATCAATAATAAGTCCTGACACTTGAGGGTACTTGTCAATCAGAAACAAATTTGGAAGTTGGGGTCCTATCCCAGAGTCAGGATTTGGTCATGTGATTATGTGGGTGGGTTAAATTTCTGGCAAGCAGTCCTGTCCTCCAAGTCCTATAAAAACTAAGTTCAAACTAAATTTGATTGTACATTCAAGACTAAAAGGAAATTTTTGAATTTCTAGTTTAATTTGACTAAACTGTAATTCAACTTTGCAAGAAGGATTGAAGGACAAGAGGATTGCTAGAAGTTTAAGGACACCTGAACATAATTATTAATAGCGGTGAGCATTTGGTATTACTCAATTGTTAAATTAGGAATTGTTTCTTCTCAAGTTTGAAAGAAAGAAATTTAAATTAAGAATTTTGTTACATTGCAACATCTTTACTTGAACAATTAAATCTTTCATACAACTGCATTTAAAGATTATCAAAATTGTTATCACGAAGTTTTCTTTTGAACATAACAAAGGATGCCTTGTATATATTGTAATAGAAGGTCGCTTTACATTAAACTAAAATGTGGACACGGGATGTGCTTGTCATGCATCAGAATGTATTTAGTACCCTTGTCATTACAAAGTATATTCTCTCAAAGATACTGTGAAGGGTATTAAGTGCATTCCATGCCTGCAAGCACGGCATG